TTTTTTTTTTTTTTTTTTTTTTTTTTTTTTTTTTTTTTTTGGCTCCCGCTCTTAACCCATTGCTTGCTGATGGCAGCTCAGCAGCGACCTCCCTCCCATCTCACTCCTCCCCGCCCCCGGCTCGCAGCGAGGGGCAGCAGCGGGCGGGCGGTACTCCAAGTGCGCGGCCCCCACCGCGCGCCCCGCCTCGCCGGGAGCCGAGGCGGAGCGGAAGGAGGGTGTAGGGATCGCCGCGCTCCGTGGCAGGCGGCCTCAGCAGCGCTGCTCGGGGGTCCTTGAGGGGGTATTGGAAGGGAAGGCGGGGAGCAAGCTGGTCCGCGAGCTGCAGACCTAGCTGGGAGATGCCCTCGATAGCTATAATCAGAGCCGAGCTCTCCGCCAACATGGCGATATTTCGTGTTCTGCCAGCACTTGAGTCCGCCTCTCGCCCCTTCCCTTTCTATTCATCTCCCTCCCCCTTGCGAACTTTTAGGTGGGCAACAGCAGCACGGGATAAATATAGCACAGAATGAAAGAAAGTCTAGCCCTCAGGGAAGAGACAGAGCTCCTTCAGTATTCCGTCTGGTTTTTATGCTCAGCCAAGAAAGCTTTAAAACCGCTGGGGAAACCACCTTTTGCCCGAAAGCGCTAGCAACGCCCCCGTACTAATCCCTCCTGCAGCACTTCGTGTGTGTATATCAAGTTATCTGGGCTTGTTTCGGGGTAACCCAGTTCCCTAGTAGGTTCTTACCTTGTCCTGACAAGCCCAGGTAGGAGAGCGTTTAACACTGAGAAGCACCCGGGCAATGGGATGCAGCCGTCAAGGTAGGACGTGGGGTGTGAAGTGAGGATTTGTCTCAAATTCCTCCATTAGCAAAGAAAATGCATAGTATGGCTTTGGCTGCGAGTTACTTAAAGAGAGAAAGGCTGGGAAGGTATGGAGGAGAGCTGATCAATGCCATGTGTCCAGGAAACAGAAAAGGCGAATGAAATGCCTTGGGGTGTGCTTCCCCCTCACCCCCAGCTGCGCGCTGCCTCGCGATTTCAGCTCAGCCGTACTTTCAGGAGCTGATTCACTCGCCATTGTCTCCGCACCTCCCTCGCCCTTCTCTAGGGGAGGGCTGACTCACTCCCAGCTTAAGAGGCGTTCCGAGCAGGCGGGTCGCAGGTCAGCCTGACCCGGTGAGCAGCGCGCGGCTTCGCCCCAGGTCCTGCAGAGGGGGAGCATCGAGTATTACAGCCCCCAAGCAGAGCCTTGCTGCCTGCTCGGAGAGGGACTTGTACCCTCACCTACGCGGACGCGGGAAGGAAGTGTGAAAGGGGGAGCGTAGGTAGCCTGGCATTCCGTATGGGGCTCGGCGAGAGGAAAAAAAAAAAAGCTGAGGGGGGGACATCTCCTCTTCGCCTAGCTTCGCAGAGAGAAATTGCTGTCTCGGGGTTCCACGCCCCCGTAATGGAACCCCCACGCTCCGAGCCCCTCCGCTGGGCTCGGCCACCCGCACAGGGCTGGGCCGGCGCGGCTCAGAGCCGCGGGACCAGCCGCCGTCCCCTGCCTGTAGCTTCCAGCTGGTCTCGAGAGATGAAAGGAGCAGAAGCCCCGCAGGGTCCAAAGGCGAACGAACAACCTTTTTTAAAAAAGGTTGTCCTGTGTTCTCTTTGACTTTTCAAGACCTGTCTTCTTTTGTTGGATTTTTTTTAAAGCTCTGCATACTTTTATAGTACTTATATGTGCATGATTTATGGCTCTTTCCTGAAGCTGATGGAAAACCGGTGCATTTTCTCCTGAACGTTTCCTCATCCTCTCTTCACCCATCCCCAGTATTACCAACCTGTCGCTACCTCAGGCAGTGATCTGGCAGAGCGCGCCTCTGTCGATCAGGGCCATTTCTGCCCCGTGATACCCTCCCCCCCCCACCACGGAGCAAAGTGGAAGCACGAAAACTCCAGCAAGGCTGCGGGCTGCTGTCCTGCCCCGGGGTTCACAGGGTTGGGTGGGGTTCCACCTCCAGCCCATGCTTCTCATCAAAGAAAGATATTCAGGACACACTTTGGTCATATCAAGATCGTGTCAATCCAGGGAGACTTTAGCCATTACCTGCTCATGCGGATGTCTCCGGTAATCACCCAAAGCCCACCGGGTCCGGCCGGTTGCAAGGGGGGAAAGTGGCAGAACAGCTGGTGTCCGGCATCGTACTGTTTTAAGGATCACCACCAAGGTCTCTGTTTTCCATAGCTGCCGATGAACACCATCGCCCAAGGTTTCTTTCAAGGAAAGGAGGAAGGAAATATACTTCCCAAGCCTCTGTCCAGCCGGTCTTATGACTCTGAAACCACCGACGACCGAGGAAACCCCTCCGCAACGTTAAACGCCCGTAATTTCCCTCTGCTTCTCCCCCGGCGGCTCCGGCGCACCGCCACCGCGCGATCTTATCGCCGCGTGATCATTATTCACCGGTGACAAGCGGAGATGCGGAGCTCCTAAGTGAGGGTGACAGATTTCAAACGCGGTGCTGCGGCGTGCTCAGCCTCAAGACATTCTTCCTCAAACTTTGCCTAGCAAGTAAGTCAGCGTCTTAACCCTTTGCATCCCTGCTTGTCGCACGGGCACTGCTTACTTGCTGGGGGACTCTTCACTACGTGTCCTTTTCTGTTCTTGAATTGAAACAAATCAGAACAGCCAACTCTGGGGAACAGTTGGAAAGCTGAATACTTCTGTGGTTAGGGACTGGAAAAATCCTCCCGGCAAAGCAGTCCCCGGGGGACTCACCTGCAGTCCCTTAGTCGCCAGGTTTGGTACGCAAAGCATCACATGCATTGTATGGAGTTCACACAGAATTGCGTTTTCCTCAACTTGATGTGGCTAAAAGTAAATATCTGAAAGTACTATTTCACTCAGACCTTCAGCTCTGTCTCCTTTACGGGTTATCAATAACAGCAGAACAAGTAAGAAAGGAGCTTATTTTCATAGGGGATAAAACAAAAAAACAAACAAACACACAAACAAAAAGCCTTTTTTACACATGCACTTCATAGCCAAAGGAAATATTTACCACTAGCAAAATTTAGCATACCAGAACATGTTTCCTCCAAAGCACAGGAGAGCCTTAAAATGGGGGGAAACAACAATAAGAAAGAAAAAAAAAAACAAACCAAAATTCACGTGCAATTCAAAGCTGTAATGAAGTGTGTGAAAACTCTCCAAAGTCAGTGCTATCAGCTCAGCAAAGCCTGGTGTCAAGACAACGTTGGCTATAGCACTGTAACACGGAGACATAGGGAAAATACAAGGAAATCTGTGAAGTCCTTTAGGTGTCTAATATTCATTTATATATGCTTTCTCCAAGTTGTGATGTTTGGAACCCTTCTTTACTTCCCCCTACACCCTCCCTTCAAAACAAACAAACAAACAAAAAACAAACAAAAAAAACCACAACAAAACATAATTTACACATCATATTTATAGTAAGACATGAGGACTGACCCCGTTCAGACCCTAGCGAGGCTCCCAGGCCGGTGGGCGATGCCGCCCAGGTGCACGGCGAGCTCTGCGGGCTGCACGTCCTGCGGCGCGGCCCAGGTGGCAGTAGAGCACAACGCTCGGCGTGGAGCCGCAGCTGGGAAAACTTCCCCCATTTTCTGCCTTCGGCACGCTCTGTTTAAACTGCTCCCCCCACCCCCTTCCCTCAATTATTAATCCTAGTTATAGTCTGGTTGTTTGGGCTTCATTTTCTTTTTTTTCTTCCCTGTTGTAGCATTTATGTATTTATTACCAAACTGCTTTGCAGGGTTGAGAAGTTGTAAACTGAAAAGAAAATGTAGCATTTTCTTTAAATTTTCTTTGATTATACAAGATGGCTAGCCTGGAATGATGGCCTACTGACCTATAATGCAACCTTACTTGTTTTAAAGTGGATGTGAAATAGGGTAACATTTAAAAAGATTATGAAAAATTGTCTTCTTTATAAATGTCCTTTTTTTTTTTTTTTTTTTTTTTTTTTTTTTGTTCATTCTCAGATGTAATGCTAGAATGAATGTTGCTGCTTGCAAGACAAAAAGTAGAAGTAGCTGGAAACAATTCTGCTTTCTGTTTTTATCAGTAATGGTGTATTTTGTATCAGGCTTTGAATTTGTGCTGCTGACAGAAGGAAAAAAAATGCAATGTGAATTCTTCATCAATTTTTTGCAAAATCAATTATTTTAAAAAATGAAGTGGAGAGCAGAAGAAACAGAAGTTGGGGTGGGGGCAAGGAGAAGAGGAGTTGCCTTTAGAATGGCAGAGCAATGAGTTATTCAGATATTGTATTCTGTCTTGAATTCTAAACAAGTTGAAGGGTTGAATATGTTCTTTTCAACCTTAAGAAACAAATGAAGAACTTTGACTAGATATACAGTGAACTGAAGAACCCCTCTCCTCCAACAGGTTTTTTCTGAGCTCCCACATCTGTGGTGAGATTAAGATGAAAATATCAGATGGGTTCTGAAGCAGACTTTGGAATATTTTGTGATACAACTCAAATGGTAGATTTCTACTGTTTTGAAATATAGGGATTAGAGCCTGATTCAAAATAAAATTAATAATGAAACAAAAATATACCATTAGACTATTCCCCATCTCATCTCTTCTTTCCCATCTCCTTTCTCTTTAGCCCATTGTTACCTTCTGTTTTTTCCATATTATTAGGTATAACCTTGTAATACTGTCTGTAATGCCTTGGGATGTCACACTTCATAGATTTAACCTACTGGAGGCATACCCTTCTTGTCTCCAAGGGATTTCTGCATTTAGCTTTTGAAGGTATAATGACAAACTATTTCTAACGGCTGCCTTCGGCCACTCTTCTTTCCCTTGTTTCAGGACACAGGGATCTGAAAGTTTAGTAGATTCTTAAAATTTCTGGTCTTAAACACTTAACCTTTAATACTGAGCAAGAAGATTCAAAGCATTCTGTTTGCAATTTCTTTGTCAAGTTGATTGGCGTAAGGACATAAGCTGGTCAAAATCTGATGAAAATAATTCTTTTTTCTTTGGTGGTTGCTGTAGTGATTTTTTATTATTATTATTGGTGATTTTTGTTGTTTTTTTTTCTGTTCTGTGCTAAACACTTTAGAGAGTCAAATCAAGTTTTGTTCAAAATTGTTCTATCCAGATGCCATCTGATGACAGCCATATTGGAAGATAATAGATGAGTAGGCAGGACTGAAATACAAAATTATTATATTTAATTATATTTGATGAAATGGAAAAAAAAATTTGTTGCAGTTTTGTAACCAAAGAAAACCATGACAAATCGCATTGCATATTGTACCACATTGCATATTGTATCATTTTAAGAAAAAATTCTGCAGGAAAAAAAATTCTACTAATAAATCACTGATAGAACATCTTAATTTTCATGCTGTAAACAATTGCACAAATATGGATTAATCTAGACAACCATTAATTGTGTCTGATGAAACAGAAGTAATTTGCATGGCTAAATCACAATGGACATAAGAAGCACATTCTTATGCATTATTTCTTTTTTTTTTCCTACCTATTTGTTTGTTTTTATTGTATGCAACATACGAAGGAAAAATAGAAAGACAAGAAAAGGAACTGGCTGAAATCAACACACAGTCAAAAAATTTATTTATAGTAGGCCTAGCTACTTATTAGACTGATAAGAGAAAAAAGCATAAGTAAAATCTTGTGAATAGCACTGAATTGGTTCAGGTATGCTATTCCTTTATCAAATTCTCAGCAAAATCACGAAGGTCCTTTTCATTATCATCACCAGCTTTTAAAATAATTAATTTTTTTCTCTGGTTCTGGCACTGAGCATTTACTTTTTAGGAAAAAATAGCGGAAGCTTTTGTCAGCAGTATTCTAGTTGCACGACATAGAACTAAAAATCCACCTCGGTGGCACTGCATTCATTAAATTTGTTGTTATGCATTCATCCATCTTCTTTCATTTTAAGCAAAAAAAGCTAGAAGGCAGACTATCAATCTGCTCTAGAAAAAGCATCACTTTCTGATTGCAAGGCCATCTGCCCTGTCTCCCAAAGGACATCAAGATCTCACACTTTCTAAAATTTTAGTGAATAAAGAAACAGATTCATTTGCACTTTTTTATCCACAGGTCCAGCAAGCAAAAATCATTCTTTCACTCCATCTATGATAAGTCTACTTCCGTAAGTTTTTGTATTTTCAAGGGGATTGTTGCAGTTATTGCAGAGTCTCTCTGAATGATCCGAGAGTTTTCTTTCAGCTCAATAAACATGATAGAACAGTTAATAAAATTATGAGTATTTCTAGAAGTTGGGAGGAAGAAAATAATTTTAAAGCAGTTTTATATAAAAAATTTATAATATAGACCCCCAAGCCTCGTACCACAGCTTTTATAGCTGTTTTTATTGATTTCCATGAAGCACCTCACAAAAGACTAGCAAACCATTTCTACAACATTTAAAAAATCTTGTAGCTCTACCTGCTAAACCTTGTTAACCATCTTTCAATTCCAGTACAAGTTAATTACATGCAATAGGATACAAAGAAGAATGTAGATTTTCTATTGCAATTTATTGACTTTTACTTTTTCTGGACTAATCCCTTGGTTACTATAAGGGGGTAATGCCACTTTGTGAAGCTGTTTCTAATCCTTTCTGTTTATTTTAGAACATCCACTGAAAAAGCAATAGGTGAAAAAGAAAATTGTTTTCACTTAAGTAAAGAAGAAGATATAAAGACACTACCCTGACGATTAAGCTTGACACAAATGAACAACGTGCATTTCTGGCTTGGAAGACCAACAGTATCCTGGGCAGCATTAACAGAGGGGTGGCAATAGGGAGAGAGAAGGGACTGTCCCCCGCTGTGCCCTTGTGTGGTCCCATCTAGAATTATCTGTCAAGGCCTGGGGCACAAGAAGGCTGTGGAGCTGTTGGAGTGGGTTCAGAGAAGGGCTTTGAAAATTCTCAGAGGACCGGAGTGCCTCGCCTGTGAAGACAGGCTGAGTGAGTTGTGATTGTTCAGCTTGGAGAAGAATGAGTTCTCATTGCAGCCTACAATACTTAAAGGAAGCTAATAATCAGGAAGGAGACAGAATTTTATATGATCTGATTGTGATAGGAAGAGGAATGGTTTTAAACTAAAAGATATGAGATTTAGATTAGATGTTAGGAGGAAATTTTTTACTTATAGGGTGATGAGGCACTAGAACAGATTACCCAGAGAAACTATGGAATGTCCCATCCCTGGAGGTGTTCAAGGATGCTTGGGGCCCCAGGCACTCTAATCTAGTGGATGGCAACCCTGCCAATGGCAGACGGGTTGGAACTAGATAATCTTTACAATCCTTTCCAGCCCAAGCCATTCCACAATCTTACAGTTCTATGAGTCCACGATTCTATGATCAAGGGTCAAGAAT